TCCGATGCTTAAGTCAGTAGGCTAGTAGCGAGCTAAAATTGCTTGAAAATGAGAGAACTTGAGAGCAGGAAATCACGCATACCTTGCACCCCTGGGGGGTGGAGCCTTTATATAATGGAGTCCTCGCGGGTTTCGCGGAGTAGTTCCGGAATCCTCGTCACGATGAGATATGTTTCCGCGATAATGGGAGATAGTGCTGCTAACTGATAAGGTTTATCGAGTCCGTCCGAATCGGTCGGGGGAGATAACGCTGGCTGTTACGCGACGTGATCCCGTGAAGTTCAGGAACCGTTGGAGGGATTTTCGGGATCCTCACAGTGGCACGTCAATATCCCCGAGTTGACGCCTTAGTCCCGAACTGGGCTGAGTGTCGAAGTGCCTTGGCATTGAAGTGTTCTTGTTGCGATCTGGTACCGAGGCGATCTCATTTCGGGGTGACCCTGTCTCGAGGTCACTTTAGCCCGGGGTAGATGGGTACCTGAGACTGTTACGCTGCAGGCTGATCATGCTGAGTTGTCATCTATTAGTCAGATCGTGTCCACATGTCCCCCTGTTACGAGGACGGGCCAAATCAGCCTTCACCAATTAAAATGATGAGGACGAATTTTGCCCTCCAATGACATTGTGGCACATGGCACCTCATAACAACTAGGTGACACCCGGAACCACTTTGGCAAGAACTTGCCTTAGCCAAGTTGATGGTGTCCCACCTGGCGGCCAGGCACAGGCGCGGCCTGGCATAGGCGCGACCTGGCGGCCTGTTCCTAGCACGAGCTGGCAGCCTAGCACAGGCACGAACTGGCAGCCTGGCACTGGCGCGACCTGGCAGCCTGCCCCAGGCGCGAGCTGGTGGCTTGGCCCAAGTGCAACTTGGCGGCCTGGTCCAGCGCCGACCTGGAGACCTGCAAGACGTGTTCACCGACAAATTCGACATGCATATCCTAACACTCTCATGATCTTTGGAAGTTGGCCCACGTGCCGAACGATCCGGAGGGTGATCAACGTGCATGGTAGTTACCTCCAGGAATCTTGAACCACTTACTTGAACAAGGAAACCAATGATCGATCTCCCAAGAAAGAGGAGAAG